ATACCCCACCCCTCACTCCTGACCTTCACCGACTCCTCCTCACCTCCCCTACCCAGCCTGCTTGCCCATCTCCTTGCCCGTTTGCCACACCTAACCTGCAAACCACCACCAGATTGTTCCTCTCTCCTCTCCGTTCTCCTCTTCCACTCCCTCCAATTCTTTCACCCTTTATTTGAAAGCAACATGTCTTGTTATGTTCATGAGAGCTTTGTCACAACTTATACCCCACTCCTTCCCTGTGCATTGCTCAGAAATTCAATTTGATATCGTTAAAAACTCAAGCTCATATGAAACTGTTATGTTTTGATTCAATAAGGTTTTTGTAGCTAGTGTAATATCCTGTTCTTCCTCCACCAAATCCTTTTCTCGTTCTTCTTTCCCTTGCTCACTCCTTCCCTACAACTCTCTTCCCTCCCATCCTTGCTCCTGTGCTTCCCTCCTCTTCAAGACAACTCAACCTGAATGGGATAGGGCTGTGCAGAGACCTTCAGACTCAGAGGTGCTTGGAAAGAAATCAATTAAATTGCTTAGAAATAAAAAGCACAAAGCTGCAGAGATCCTGAGTGGGGAAATGTCGGCTGAACAGAGGAGGCTGGAATCTTAGACAGGTCTATGCCATATGTCAGCAAAAGCTGTTTCAAGGGTCAGATCTTATCTCTAATATCAAGAAGACAGCAAATCATTTGTTATTGCATGGTGGCTTTCTCAAAAGTCACTGTCCCTGAGGCCTCATCCACACATGGAGTGACATCAGCTTAATTAAAGGGGCAACTTTAAACTAATTTAGTCAAACAAAAATTTTGTGGTCTCTGATTTCCATTTAAACCAGGATGAAATTGGTTGATCATAAGTTATTTAGGAGTACAATGCTGACAAAATTAAATGAACAACTCTTAGTTGAACACCTGTGTCTACATGATGCAGATGTGTGTTGGAAGTTCAGAACAAGTCTTGGCTTCCCCTGGGATCCTGAGTAAGGTGGCATTGTGGGCAGATTTACTGGACATGGTATATTCAAGAAATGGGTCCACATCTGCCTGGAACCACCTGGTGTGCTGCCATACTATCCTCTGTTTGGACAGAATTTCCTTTAATTCACTGTAGCTCTGATTTAATGCCTGCTCAAGATGATGTATATCTTTCCACTGAGTTCGCTGGCCACTGGGTCAGGACCTAGAAGCATCCTCATTAGAAGAAAGAGATGAGTTTGGATCACTTCTTCCATAGCTTCTGTTTCCATGTCATTTTGTGTGACTCAGAATGAAGGGCCAGCTTCCAAGAAGGGCAAGGCACCTTGCCCCTCCTACCAACATCATGGGGAGTTGTAGGTGCAGTGCAGCACTTGGGATCTAGCTCAGCATATCTGCAGCTTCTAGAGACTGGATCTGCTCTTTCTTACAGTCTTTACATAGACACAGCTCCTAGGAGGAAGAGTTGAGTAAGAACCTTTAGACTTGCTCCAGTGATAAGGCAGCCCCTAATGGCCCAATGGGGCATACAGCTAAGAGCATTTTTCATATCCAGGATGTAGTTATTTTTCTCCCGGTGACATTGATGAGTAGTCCAGGTCTAAGGCCTGGGCGATGAGATAATATTTACCCTTCAGCCTCTGCCTTAACTACTTCTCCATTCCTAATATAGAGGAAATAGCTGGCCCTATGTCTCCAGAGGGAGAGCAAAGTTCTGCTGCCTAATGGGAGAACTGACACTTAAACAGCAATCATGGGCCATGAGGGAAGAAGGGCATGTCACCTCTCAGGTTTTCTCTTGCAAACTTAAGATGGGATTTGTCAGGATCTAGATAAAGGAGTCAAATGCATCCTCAGTAACTCTACTGGGAGGGCATAAATTTGACCAAAGACAGAATTGGATTTGGGGTGTCCATAGCTTAACACTGCTCATTGTTTCCCTTGGGAAGCCATATTAGTCTGATATCAGGCAGGAGATAGGGCAGGATTGAATCATGGCCATGCTAAATTGTAAAACACAGCCTATGGATTTGAAAGAGAGCATGTGAAACTTGAGTTTCCCAACCTCATTCTCTGCTTCTGCTGAGACATGTAAGCAGGGATTGGTCCAAATGTCCCATTCCTCCTCCTATACCTCTCTTGCTCATACCAGCAAATTGCCACTTAGCCCCCTGCACAGTGCCTTGAGGAGAACCATGGCCAGCTCCACTATAAACTGTGCCCTCTACCCCCTTCACATCTGCCTTCTCAGCCAGGAGTAGATGAGATTTTCAGATATCATGTTAGATAGATAACCAGGTAGGCAGATGCCAGAACCAGACAAAGAAAAGGGAAGCGTGGTAAAGAGCTGGTTAGAAGTGAAGTGATTGTGTGCACTAACAAGGTTCAGATGGGGAGTTCTCAATCTCAGCCCTGTTCTATCAGCTTTGAGTTGCCTCTTCCCAGTATCCTTGTAATGGCAATGCTGATGGAATAACTACTAGTGTTTCTGTATTCCTTTCCTTTTCCTCCTTTCATTGGCTTGTATCCAGACCCCGCCTTACAGTCCTATCAAAAAACAACAGTCCAACCTAAGGTTGTGCTGCCCTGGTAGGGCTTTTTGTGTCTTGCAATGCATTGTGGGAAGACTTGTTGGGGTGAGTGAGGGGTTTGGCTGCTCTCTTAGCTAATCTCTGCACATGTATGTATGTAGAAGGGGAGCTGCACATCAAAACTACTGCTGGACTAGAAGAGTTGAGTCTGGGGGTGCTGCCTGAAAATCAGTGAATGGCTTCCAATGGACAGCTCACAGAAACCATCCCCATGGGGGAGTAAGGCAGAGCACCTGCACTGCTGGTCTTGCTAGCTGGATATCAAATCCCAGCCTGCTCGGGCAGAAGCTGAATGGCACAACATGGGTTTCCCGCACCTGCTTTCTTCCTTTGCCTTCCAAACCTTCTTGGGCCAACCTGTAGGATGCCCAAGCACACATGCACACACCCCTCTTTATACTTTCTACCCCTTCACTAAGGAAGAATTCACTTTCTGAGATCACAGAAATCCCATCCAAGATTCCCCTCTGATCACTGGGCGAAAGTCAAGTCATAACACGTGTCCACATCTGCATCCTCTATGCTGTGCTTGGAAACGCTGCTGAGAAACATGCCCCACCTACCTGCACTGCTTACAGATAGCAATTTCCAGAAAGGAGACAGTGTCCCCTGCACACACACCAATAAGCAAGACCGAGGCAGACAGTAGCTGTGGACTGCACAGCTTCACTTCTGAGATTTGCTACAGTGGGCATGAGTGGGCAAGACTATGCCACATGACCAGGCTTGGCTCAGTGTCAATACAGACAAGTCTTTAATGCCCTGTCTTGCAACCTATGCTTTTAAGAGTTCTCCTTACATGAGTCTTCCATCCCATTGGTTTCAATGGGACAACTCACATGAGTAAGGAGTCTTAGCAGGAGTAAAAGTGGCAGGACCAGATTCTCAATTAGTGCTAACACATGCAATGGGACTAGGTAATCAACAGTGTCTGTACACAACACGTGACTTGCCTGAGATTAATGAAAGACAAATAGTTGTGACTACAAATTATAACATCCTCTCTTGCTCCTCCACCCTCGTTGTCCACAGGCCTGTGGACATCTCCATGTCTGAAGTGAAAATCAGCATGTTCACTTTGGAGAATTGCTCTTACCAGCTCCAGGCATTTTAAAGTATGGGGCACTGCCTGTATTTTTCCAAATATCAACAAGGATCCTGTTTGAGTCCTGCTCCATTCTGCCATTCCTTAGTGACCACACCTGAACCCTGCAGGGATCACGTGACCTTTCATGGCAAATGGTTCCTATGCTTCTAAGTGTCCAGTGCTCTGGTTTGCACACAGAAGTTTCCATAACATTCAAAATGATTAGCAGCAACGAGCACTCAGAGATGGCAGGGTAGAGGCCAAGCAGGTATAGGAAGGTTACACTAGACTGTTTCATCAGCCCCCTCCCAGAATCTCCCTGCACCCTAATCCAGGTTTGGAAGGATCCATTGCAGTTCTGACCACGGGAAATGGCCATTTCTGAGCTGTAGACCATTGGCAGCCAGAAGGCAGCAGCACTCCCACAATGTATTGCATTTTACTTTTATCCAATGGGTAAGTCTTTGGTTGGACTGTCTTCATAAAGGACCCTGGTTTGGCCATGTTGATGCCTGAAAAATAATTTTTATTAAAAAAAATTGCTTTAGTAATTCTCTTCACCTAAGAGCATAGCATGTGGTTTCTTTTCTTTGTTAATATCCTAATAAGAGAGAGACACCCATATGACCTACCAAACATGCATATATATAAATGTGCGTGCATATATATATGTGTGTGTGTGTATGTGTGTATATGTGTATATGTACCGATAACTATACGGCCCGTATCCATACATATACAACAGATTAAATATATTGCATTTCAGAACACGAACCTAAAAATTCAATCAAATCACCAAATCCTCCTAATGTTGGCAACATATTGGCTATAACTTTCCTTTTGTGCAATATTACAGTTACCAACAGAATCTCCTTTCCTTTCTCTCTTGTTAAAAATCAGTAAATTGTTTGATCTCTTCTCTCTCTCTTTGTTTGATCTCTTCTCTTCTCTCTTTCTTTTCTCTCTCATGTTCTGAAACCAAAGCCCCTTTCCTTTGTTTTAAACCCCCGCCGGATAACGTTGCCTTTCTGTTGCAGATTTTGAATTCCTGCTGCCAAACAGCTTTGAGTCCGAGGGACGTGTATTCATTGCTCCCAGGTAGCTTTGCGTGTGAGCTTGCTGAGGTGTCCATTCAACCACTCTCCCCACCTATCACAGTGACCCTGGGGCTAGTTCACCTCTCCTTCCCCATTTCCACCCCCTTCTCCACCACATCCCTTTAACTGTTCCGTCTCATCACCCCTTTTCCCCAGAACTTGATACCACCTCATTGTGCCTGTCTTCTAAGTTGTCTTTTGTGTGTGTTGTATGCCCGTGTACCACTCTGAGACTGTAGTTGCCACCTGCACTCTGTTGAGACCTCACCCATGATTGGCAACACATGTGCATTTTCTATTCAATTACATACACAAGCACAATATATATGTATATCTGTATATGAGATGTGTATACATATACATATAGTTATAGTTTCTGAAAATCTCTCCCACCCCTCAGCAGCAAACAACACCAGAAGTCATAATAGGATTGCTCTGGCATCATATAGTCATGCTGGTTAAATTAGTCACAGGGATCAGCTCTGAGTACTGTTCACTGTAAGTACAGGGCCTTCTTTGGAAAAAGAGAATGGCAAGTTGATCCCAAGCCAGTCCTCAGTTTCTACAGGGATCTGTTATTTCTTGGTATCTATCATAGGGTTTCAACTAAATATTTTCTGTATAGAGGCTGTTTACTTTGATTATTCAATAATCATCTTGCATGACTGGGTGCCTACATCACAAGGTGCCTGGGTGGCCAAAAGTGTTTGCTTTGAAGAGCAGAATCACAGGTAACAAACTTTTGGTGCAAATTGTGAAGGAATACTAGTTCTGGTGAAAATGTATTAACATTTCCACAAACACAGGTACTTATCTGAGCACTCCTGAATGATAAATAACATGATGCAGTGAATCAGAGCTAACTAAACTCTTAACTAGGAAAACACACCCTTTTTATTGTCTTCTCAACTTCTACTCTTACAGGCTATGATAGGGATCAAACTAATGGGGTTCTATAGAAGTCGCTTCAAAAACCTCCAGGGGCCTAATTGTTAATGAACTTTCTACAGTTTGGAAGGAAGGGGAGGGGAGGTTGGACTTCCGCAGCAATCTCTAAAAGAGATCAAATTTTCTACTAAAATCTGTAAGCTTATTGGACAAGAATCTATAGAAATGCTGTATGACCTTCATGCTAATTTTATTAACATGTTCAGTTAGTTGTGCTGTAGACTTATGAATTATAAATGGATAGTCAATGTCTGAATAAATGGCTAATGCAGTTGTTATGAAATCCAGCAGGTCAACAGGTTGATTATAACCATAGCTTGTAATAGTGGGGGCCAACCTTTTCGACAGGCATGCCACAAATTATCTCGTCATTCTCCCTGAGTGCCACTCTGATTTCCTTCCTCTGTCTGATCTGCTGCTCTGCTTTCTGTTCCCCACTCCATGCTCCGTGTCCAATCTCCTCCTCTGCTTTCTGCTTCCTGCCCTGTACTCCCTGCTTTATCTCCTGCTCTGCCCTCTGCTTCCTGCTCTGTCTGCTGCTATGCTGTCTGTCTCCCCCCTAATCTGTTGCATGCCACACAGAGAGGCTGCACATGTCATTTGTATCACTTATGCTGCAGGTTGGCCACCTCTGACTTACACCTATCTATAATGCCTTATAACCATCTAAACACATTAGTTGTGACAAAGCATTTCTAAATGTACACTTAATATGACGTATGACCAAAATGTCATTATTTTCTTTTAAATTCAGTATGACTTTCCCATAAAAATAATGTTTAAGATTAATATTTATCTTATGTTTAAGAAATGTGGAATTTAAAAAGAGATTTTTTTTTTACGAATCTTGTGTTGTTTAAAAAAAACCTCACACGTGATGAGGAAATAGATAACAAGCTGCCATCCATGATAATGATCAAGTGCCTCCACCTCCACTTCTCAGGCATGGATTTTATCAGAAGCTTCTTTTCTAAGCTTTCTATTATTGAACAATTTTGCCTCTGATGTATAGTTCAATTACATTAGGAATGGATGGACCCAATCCAACTGCTGTCTATTGCAAGCAGTTTGAATCCAGATCCAAATATTGTACCTCATAAAGGAGAAGAGAAATGGAATTTTATCAAAACATATTAGACAGTTTTTAAGAACATTACTTGAATATGTTCTGTACCTTGCTCCAAAAATGTCTAATTAGTACTCAATATCATTATATACCAGGATATCATGTTATCGCATTAATATCTACAAAGGCCCATGACATCCTTTAGCTCCATTAGGACTTTGTGATGTCCCATTAGTACCATAGAACTGTATGAGATCCATCAGTGTCAATAAGACTGTATGATCTCCCATCAATTCTAGTATGTCCACTGGACTATGGTAATTTTCAGAAACCGTTATGTCACATATTGATATATTTGTGGGTGTGCAAGCACATATATCTGTACACACGTGTGTAGATATATAGGTGGCTACAGAGAAAAAAAAAAGAGTATGAGATGCCTAAAAGTCTTTCAGCAATGGAGTGGCAAGGGGATCTGGATTATTTTCTGCCCATCCTGGAAAATACAAGGCAGGTGCTGGAGGGGGATGATAATTCCATTCTATTGGTGGAAATGGACAGTGGATCAGGAAATTTAAATCATATGGCTTTCAGGCTCAATTATCCACCCAGAGAGGACTTTAAACCCCCTTTGAACGGCACTTTCACACACGCTTCTGTTGCTTTCACACACGCTTCTGTTGCTTCATAAACATTAGGGCTGGAAGCAACCTCACAAGATCATCAGGTCCAGCCCTCATTGGTGCCATTATACTGCTAGTGTGCATGCTAGATATAAATACATCTATGCTGCTGCCCTTTCTCAATTCAGATTGACCAAAGCAACATTGTGCCACTTAAATAATGTTGCACAATAACATTTATTCACAAGAGTCATGTTTAGACCCACTGTGCATGTTGTGGGAATAAAACCAAACTGGGAAGTGCTGTCCACAGTGAAACTTACTCTCTTTTTCTTCAAATGCTTAAAACAGCTGTAAAGTAGAAGAGCAAATGGCTTTGTAGGAAGCTTAAAGATGTTACCTAGACTATAACCTAACAGCCTCAGCCAGGTCACTGGGATGTAGGAATTTTTCTGTCATTCTTCTTATGTTAACATAGCCAACCCCAAGCATTCAAAAATCACAAGTTAACCCCTAACACAATCCAGAGACTTCATAGAGCCATCTGTTGTATCATTCTCTTTATTCACCTTCTGGTTTATTTTCAAGCTCTTATGCACAACCATGAAGGTCAGAATCTTGGGGTTTTAAAAAATAAATTAAAAATTGAGATTCTCACATAATCCCAGGAGTCTAGGAGCTGGGGATTTAGGAATGGTACCAAGTGTCATGAGTCTTGATATAAAAGTAGGAGAGGCAGCCACACAAATAATGTTTTTTAAAAGTGCTACCATAATGTAGATTAAAGGTCCCACAACACTGGGGTTAATTCTGGGCTCAATTCTTGACCAACTACGCAGCACACAGGAAGAGATCTGGTATGCTGAAGAGGAATCACAGCTGCTATATGTGGTCAGGATTTGCAAAGCCACTAAAATGGGCCCATGGAGGGAGCAGGGCTGTCACAGTCAGCAGAATTCATCTTCTGAACACATCTGATTTTCACAGACAGGTGGGCACCCTCTCTCACTTGCCCCTCTGTCCTTCTTCCAGTCCAGCTTCTACTATGTGGTGGTCATCTGCAGAGATACTGTTTTTGAGGCCAAGTAGCTCCTTCGAGACCCTTTCTCAAGTGACTGAGAGACAGGGGCCCTGTGCTGGGTCTTTAATTCAGTGCCTCCCCCTGAGGTCCACTTAAAAGTCTAAGCTGATTCTGAGATCTCACCCCAGGTGTGGAGAGTACACACGGAGTGTCTTTCACTGCCTGAGGTGATAAATCCCTCGCTTCTCCTGTGCTACTTAAGCATCCACAGATGCAGAGCCCAGATGAGCAGTAAGCTTGTCTGGGTCCCCAGGGGGAGCTGCTGTGGTTCAGGCAGTGACATGGAATATTAAAGCCTGTCCCCATAGATGATAGGCAGTGGGAGCATCAAGCACCCCCAGCAGGAAGCACTGTTTGTCCTGCATGAGTATCGCCCAGTGCTGTAAGATGCCAACACTCCACAGGGCAGTGGGAGTAGGCCCAGATCTTCTGTGTTGTGGATAGGCTGATGTCTCAACAGTCATGTGCCTTCTGCTTTCCCCAGGTATGGAAAATCCAACCTTCCCTTCCTTCCTTCCTTCCTTGTTATTTGTCAACATAATTACACAGGTTGTCAAAATATAGTAACAGATCAACTAATATAAAAAGACTAGAAAATCTGACAGGCCCCAGGACCTGTGATATCCAATGCCAAGTACATTCAGCCTCAGTCCAACAAGCCAAGGCCAGCTAGCCAAAAGTTTATAATAGGGGCTCAAAATCAACTCATACCCTTGCACTTCATTCCTGAGAGGCAGTAGCAACTGAGGTATGCTCATGCCCTTTGAGGTTTTGGCAGCCTGATGGCAGTTGTCCCACCAGAAGGTGTGGGCAGCAGGAGCCTAACACAAAGAAATCAAGGCAGCTGGAAGCAGTGGCATTTTGGCATGCTGGGGCAGGGAAATGGCATCAGCATAGCTATAAATAGGTTTACAAACTGTTGGTTTCTCTTTCCTAAGCATCATGAGTCTCATCCATGTGTATTTTGGAGACAGGGACTTCCAGCTATAGCTGAAGAAGGACCAAAAGAAGCTCCATGAACATTGTAAGGTTATTACAAACTCCCAGGGCTGCTTTAAATCAATGCAAATTAATTTTCAGTATCAAAAGTAAATCACACACAGACTGAACCAACTTGTTCCCCTTGGCATCAGAAACATGATTCCAGGGCTGAATGCTATAGACTAAGATTCAGATCCCCAGCAGAGGTAAAATGCACACGAAGTGCTACACCAGTTTATACCAGCCTGGGGGACAGCCCTGTAGAATTTCAGAAACATCATACCCAGATGCGCACACACATGCTCACTCTCCCCTCACCACACAACTCACCCAGACCAACCATCCATACCTTTCCCCAACCTGATTATCAAGGACCTTCACTAGCTAACACAGCACAGGGGAACTATCAAACCCAAGTGTGCGCCTGTTGTGAGATATCAAAACCCCCTGGGAGCAACAATGCACACATTGCTACTAAAGCACAGTTCTTACATGATGCAAACTCACAGATACATTTATGCCAAATGTATATGTCCTTCCAAACTCTTGAGCCAGCACCTGTCTATCTAAAGGGTACAGATATGTATAAAGAGAGTTTGTGTGTGTGTGTGTGTAGTGGTGTTCCTGATATGGTAACCTGGGTAAAGCATGGCTGGCCATCTTATTTTCTTGTTGGTAAGCTGAGCACAGCTGTATATTGCTACCCCGGTCACCGCTGTGTGCAGTGGAAATAGTGGTTTGTTGCACCAGTGAGATAAATCCCCAGTGTTCTCTCTCATGACTCTTCACCTCCTCCCTCTCCCTGAACTGCATTCCTCCCATGAAAGGAGCTTTCTTTAAAAAAAAAGTGCCTTAAAATCTAACTGGATGCAAAAATTGCAGCAATTGACTCCCCAGAGATTTTGCCTGTGAAGAGTGGTTCTTTGCTGGTGAGGCTCACTGAATAGGTGTGGTGTGTGTTGTCACTGGAGCATATTTGTTAGAGCCTGTGGTGGGCTAAGCACTCGGTGGCGAGAGTACCTCTTTATCCTGTTGCTCATAAGCCATGCTGAATTTTGTTTTTAAGAGATTTAAGTGTCATGTTTAGACAACGCAATATCATTTGTATGGATTTGTACTGCTTCCTTTATCTAGAAACCACAAAGGTTTTTATAGTCTAGTCCTCCCAGCCCATCCAGTGAGGTAGGTAAGTACTATTATCCTCAGTTTAAAGATGGGGAAACTGAGGCAGAGAGAGGTTAAATAACTCTAGCTCCCTCTTATTCTGTCCACTGCTGTAGCCATTAAGCAGCACTTTATTCTTCAGTCACCAAGTGCTTAACCTGCTATGTACTCCCCTATTTGCGTATTCACTTCACCAGTGCTCCTGGCCATGTGGTCAAATCACAGAACACCATCTGCAGCTCTAATACTGTTCAGCCTCAGGAAATCTTTCAATCTTCTGAATTGTACATCCTGAATCCTTAGACAGTCATGGCTTATCCTTCATGTCCAGTACTAATTAATGTGTGGGGGCATCAGGATAGTTGCAAACATTTAAGAGTGGCTAGCCATTTGGTTGGTGGGTACCAGCAGGGAATATTTCCAAGACCATCATGATTAGTCCTGGATGGCCACAGTTTCATCTAATTATAAACAGCTACGTCAGGGCACATTAATGCGGCAGTAGCATGAATTGCTACATCCTAAATGCCATCAAACATCATTAACCAGTATCACAAGCTCACAGAATAGGTGTTTGTCTGTGCTTGATAACTGCCTCCTGAATGGAGTTTGCCTACCTGGGAGAGACAGCTTCTTCTGAAGGTGAGGTGGGAGATCATTATCACAGCCACTGAGTCTCATTTTTCTTCCTGATCCACGGGGCCCATCTTCACTAAAAGGATGAAGCACAATTGAAGTCAGACATTGACAGAATTATGCCTATGGCATGGCCAAATCAATGAATATTAAAGACATTGGTTTTGGTTATCTGACTGTGTCATGCTCCTGATAGCAAGTGGCTGATATTTGCTGTAGTGCTAGTGAAAGCATTTAGTTGCATATAGTTAGATTGGTTTCCCAAGTGACACATCACAGGGATAGGGCTTTTTTTTATGAAAGAGATGCATAAGCACTTTTCAGACTGCAGATCAAGCATGAATTCATTGTAGTTACCCCTTTAGTGGTCTTGATGCTTCTGGTCTGCATCCCAGAGGATGCTCTGAGATCTAGTGCCATTACACTACTGCTCACATGCATAGCCTTTGTTGGAAGCTGCCAATATTGAGCCCCAGTAGTTGAAGACAGAGGCCTGGGACCTGTCTTAAAGGACCTTCAGAGTAAATGCAGAAGCTTTTGTTGGGCTGACCAAGGAATGTGTAGGACTGAGATCAGACTGACTGAATGAGCAACCACCTTATTCAGGCTGTGCCTGTGGTGCTCAGAAGGTGCATATAAGCAACCGGTGATTTTTACTTACCTAAAAAGGGGCTGAGCAATCTGGGAATCCAGTGATTGGTCATAGTTTCCTTTCACATACTGGTAATTTAGCAGGCCCTGCTGAGGTAGCACTATGCCATAGCAGTGTTAGGAGCCTTCCCACATGGTGTTTGATGGCATGATTGCATTGGGATCAACATGGCCAGAATCAGTGCCTGATACAAAGTAGGTATGGCTGATAAATTCCAAAAGGTGGCTGCTTTTCCTACTGTAACTGGTTGTTTATTCATCTATTAATTTCTAATGGTTCTTGATTGATGATATAGTGCCAGTGTGGGAAACCATGATGTGCACTTTTCTTATGAACATACAGCCTTCCACACAATAATACATGTACAGGCCCATGTTTCCATACAAAGACACCTTCCTGAACCCAAACAAATATAAGCTGCTATATATACACCCTAGTGCACATACATGACAACACTTCCTCTTATACACACATTGTCATCTCTGCATATGTAACACGCACACACACACACAGGTGTTTTCACACAAACTGACAGAAATCAGGCCATAGACACCACATATACTCAATGAACGCACATGTACAGGCAGCACTGTCCACACACGCTCGTTATTGCACAGGTTCTGAGAGGAAGAAAACTGACAATAACTTTTTCATCCTTCCAAACTACAAATCTTTTCACCCTGATCCCAGAGAATATTGCAAAGACCTTGACCAGTCGGATAACAACACAGAATTCCTGGAAAACTTTATCGCCCTGATGGAAAAGGTGACCCCAGACTCCAAACAATGTAAGTATCACAGGGGCCAAGTTGGACAGAGAGTTTCTGGTCATATTTCAGGGACAAAGAGGAGGTCTCTGGTTTTGGTAGGGTCATGGGACCTGAGACTTATTTTGAGTCAGGTTAGAGCTGAGGGTGTCTGTTGCTTTAAAGAGCAGAAATTTAAATGGAGCCCAAGGGAAACCGTGCTTGCAGACATTACTGTGTCAAGCTAGTTTTCTTTCTCTCCTTCGGTGACAAACCTTTGCCCAAGCTAATAGCTTCTGCATTGCCAGGAAGGGCCATATGTACAACTCTGATTATATGAATAGATGGATAAATAATTAATAATACCCATCCAGATAAAATAATGGCAATGCTGAAGGCAACTGGCACAGCCAGCTAATGCACCATTCTATCACATTTGGCAAGGGTGGGCTTCAGGCTTATGCCAAAGGAGGCAGGTGGACTCTAGTGTCAAGTGGATGCTGGTCTTAGCCTCAACAACACCACTGTTTTGCAGCCTGTTCCTAAGAGAGAGCCAGCAGGGTGATGCAAGTGGTTGGGATTGAGGAATATCAGCATCGCTCATGATCAGTGGTCCAGGGCTGAATAGTAGGGAAGGCATCAGAGGATCCTGTAGTTAGGAGTGCAGTGCTTCACACCATGACTAGGGACCTACCTAAATCGCAGTGAGACAAAAGATTTTTCATGGTCTGCTCGAGGCACACAAATCCAGTTTGGTGGGCATTTTGCAGCAGCCCTGCCCCTTGGTGCTGATTGGCAGAGAGGCTCAGAGGGATGAGGGGGCAGCTGGCATCTTGTCTGCTGCCCTTCATACTGCCCCACCAACCAGCAGCAAGGACCAGTAGCATGGACCACTGGCTCCCACTGGGAAGCTGGCATTTTATTTTTATTAAGTTGTTTTATCATTATTGATTTTGCAGACAATCCTGGATTTCACAGTTTCTGTGAAACTGTGAATTAAATAGATCCCTAACCATGAGTCTCTCTTCTTTGAGAGTCATCTGTTAAGAGGCAGATGTAAATGGTAAGTACAGTACAATCTGGTCGCAGAGGCTGTTTGAGCCAGTATGTGGTAACTCAGACGTCTCACAGCTGGCTGCCAAGTTGGAGTCCTGAATTCACATCCAGACCCCAGGACATGGTCTCCACTGTGAAGCTGCAATGTCTTCTCTTGCCTAGTGGCTTGTGTGGCGCTGTAGCCACAAAACAGTCAATGTCCTATAACACAGGGATTCTGCCACAACATGGCTACTAACAAAGCTTGGGAAAAGCAAACAGAGCTAAAGAGTCTGCACTGACTTGCAGTAGCTTTCCAAAGGCCCTGAATGGTCTGGGACCTAAGGGACTGCCTGGTAACTAAGGGACTGCCTTCTTCCCTATGCCTGATCTCAATTCCTAAGGTCAGCTGAGAGTAACCTCCTGCAAGTTCCTTTAGTGCACCAAGTTTGCTTGGTGAAAACATCTGTGGGTTTGTCATAGTTGTCATCAGTTACTCGTCAGCTCCTTTCCCCTTTAGGTCTACCAAAGCGTACCGGAACTGCTGTAAGACCTTCATAGTTGGACAGGCGTTTAGCAGGCAAGGCTATATTGGGATATTGTCTAGGGAGTTTTTATTTGATAGCTTGCTTTAAGTTTTTACCTGCTTTTATACATAATTTTGTCTCTTACTGTGAGTTGCCCTGGGCCTTTGATGGGAAAGGCAGCATATAAATCTAATTAAAAAAATAAATACAGGTGATGGGGAATTCTAGCCTACCCTTAGCCTGGCACCCAGAGAGGTGAGAGTCCCTGCAGCAGGATTCCCAGATGGAGGGAAAACATGACTGGGACACACGATGTACGAGGCTCTGGCTGGGAAATGAACCTCGTCTTTTCCTTCTCTCCCTGTTGCTTTCAAGGTGACAACTTCCTCCTTCACAACCTGATCCTGGACACAGGAATCACCCAGCAGCTGGTGGAGAGGGTTTGGAAAGACCAGGACCTGAACACGTAGGCACAGCCCCATTCCTGAATCAGTCCCATCCCCATTTACTTCAGCAGCAGAGAGATGCAATGCAGGAAGGGGCTGGACCCCACAGGCAATGAAATACCTGAAAAATCCAAACTGGAGTTTACAACTCACCTGGAATGGGTTCCACATGAGCCCATGAAGCCCCCTGCTTCTGCTTTCATGTCAAATGCAACATTAACTTGCTGAGACAGAAGTGCAGCACCTGCTGTCCTCATTCAACAGAGGCTGAAAACTACTCACAGCAGGAGATCTGAGCCTTCCTTTATTTTAAAAGAAAAAATCTAGTCTTGAGATGATTCCTGTACTCCTAACAGGGCACCATGCTGGGGAAGCTCCCACCCAGAGATGCAGCTGTCTGAAAGAACCCTTATTGCTGGCATTGTACAAAGGCTTGCTGTAGGAAAGCTCATACCCTTAGAGTGGTAGGCAGCATTGTGGAGACACCGCTTGGTGAAGCGCATTTTCCTGGAGTCCCAGCTGGTGCTGATGACACTCACGGGGGTGGTTCTGGTACTGTGATAATCACGTGATCTAAATTTGGTAAATTCCAAGCCTGACCATTTGTCCCCAGCCCTGCAGGCCAACCACTCTCAGAAGAGCTTGTCACCAGGGGTGATGCTTGTTATTCATTCACCTGATTAGACACAAAATGGCTACCCAAGGCAGAGTTTGGACTCCCATGAAAGGGGAGTCCATTTTTGGAATCCTTTTTGAATTTCACTATTGCTATCAATTTTACATGGAAAACACTGACATAGTATGGTGCTGGCTGGCTAGATTGATAGAGGGGTGGAAGGAAAAGTTCCTTGACTGCTCTGGCCAACAATAATGCTCTCTGTCCCCTTCTCTGTTATTGTAGGTACAGTCTCTTGGCTGTGTTTGCAGCCACTGATGGGGGCATCACACGAGTTTTCCCAAACAAGTAAGTGGCCTCATTTGCCCTTTGTCTGTTCATCCTGTCTGCAGGAGAATGTGGTCTCAGCACCCAGGCAGGCTGGCAGAAGTGGTCTGTCCCCACTAATGGCTTCACAGACTCAGGGACCTCTTCTCCTTCCTGTTCCATGGTCATATGCATAGCCCATTAAAATAATAGACAATACAGGCAACACCCAGACAAGGGCAGGGACCTTCCTGCATGCTTCCTTCCTGAGGCTGAGGGGATGTTGATGATACACTAATACTAACTGGGGAATGACTGGCTAAGCCACAGTACTGCAGAGAAGGACCTGGGGGTTACAGTGGACCATAAGCTGGATATCAGCCAACAGAGTGCACTTGTTGCAAAAAACCAACAGCATACTGGGTTGTATTAACAGGAGTGTCACATGCAAATCAAGGGAAGTGATTCTGTCACTCTGTTCAGCATTATTGAGGCCTCACCTGGAGTACTGTATCCACTTTTGAGCCCCACACTTCAAGAAGGATATGGACAGATTGGAAAGAGTCCAGCAAAGAGTGATAAAAAATTATTAGAAGTCTGGTATGCAAGACTTATGAGGAAAAGCTGAAAGAAGTAGGGTTATTTAGTCTGGAGAAGAGAAAACTGAGAAGGGGTCTGATGTCTTCAGATACCCAAAGGGCAATTATACAGAGGGTGGAGATAAAGCTTTCTCTGTGACCATAGGGGGCAGAACTAGGAGCAATGGCCTCAAGCTGCAGCATAGGAAATTTAGGTTAGGCAGAACCATAGGAGATTAGGCAGAACTTTCCAACTCTGAGGATGATCAAGCATTGGAACAGGCTGCCTAGAGATGATGTGGAATCTCCATCCCTGGAAAACTTCAAGAACAGATTCTACAGACATTTGGCTGGGATGGTTTCACCAGGAATGATCCTGCTTTGAGCAGGAGTCAGGACTAAACTACCTCATGATAAGAGTTCCCTTCCAGCCCTTCTTTCCTATGATTAGCCCTGTGAAGATGTCCTGTTGACAAGGGAGTTCCACAAGGCTTGAGAGGAGGGGACAATGCATCCACTCTTCAGGAAGGATCAGAGCAGAGAGCAGGTGTCAGATGGCTTGCTCATGTGCCCCAGGCTGTAGTAGTCTTGCCCCAACCCACCAAGTTTGTTTATGGGCCGTTTCTTACCAGAACACAGTTGATGAGGAGATTATGTAACGTCTTGGGGGTGGGGGGGTCTGGCTGATTCATTACAGGGCTGCAGATTACTGGGAAGAGGCCCATGAACCTTTTAATGCCAGCTTTTATCGAAGGAGCCTGGACAACAAGGGGTACATCTTCAAACCACCCAATCGAGACTGTAAGTACCACCCTGTGCTGACAGCCACACACCCAGCAGTTCCATGTGTCACATACAGCTCTCCACTCAGTTACTTCAGAGTAGTGTGGGGAGACACAAGGTAAAAGGCCTCAGGCTCTGGTACTCTGCTCTGCTGCCTTGAGAGTGATAGAATCATAGAATCAATGAGTCGGAAGGGACCTAGACAGATCATCTAGTCCGACCCCCTGCCATGGGCAGGAAGGAGCACTGGGGGTGGCAGGGGTCATAAGACCCCAGCCAGGTGCCTATCCAGTCTCCTCCTGAAGATTTCCAGGGAAGGTGAGAGCACCACCTCTCTGGGAATCCTATTCCGGCTTAGATAGATTAGGCTAGGCCTGCATGGATGCCTCCCGCATTTCTGCTTGGGGGAATGTTGTGGCCCTGGGGAACTTATCTTTTTGGACTCTGATGGCTAAAATGTTCTGACCCAGAGCGTGTGTATTTTGCATTAGCATGTCCCACTGTTGTATAAGTAGGGTTGGAAGATCCTTTCCTGGAGATGGCATTAGCATTACAGTAGACTGTAAAGTGCCCACTACTAGCAGGGCCTGTAGCATTTGTGTGCCAGGGTGTGAGCTGGTTACTACTGCTTGGTTTGCTCATCCTTTATCCCAGCAGGTGGGTGTCTCTAGTGGGTTATGGAATAGAGAAAGATCCCAC